TATATATATATATATATATAAAGAGATGAATTAACCAACTTCTAACTACCATTAGGCATTAATATACAAAGAAGTTACTAATTTACTTGAGTGATATCTTTATTAAGAAAAATTAAAAAATTACAGTTACTTAGTGAATAGTTTGACTCTTCCACTACTCATAACAATTATTTCAAATGCATTATCCATATATAATGTATAATGCATGCTATTAATTTTATGAACAAATATAAATGACTTATTTTTAATAGTAGACTTCTTATTTTCCTTTTAATTTCTTGTTAAGAAATTGTTTATATTTTTGAGTCATAAACTTTAAAATAGTTTTCAAAGTTGCACCAATATCAATCATTAATCATATTATTGAACAAAGTTAATCTAAGAAAATAATATATCATAAAAGAAATTGAAATAAAGTAGGAGCAGGATTTATTTTTATGAATTTAAAAATTGAGTGCATAAAATCACCTTAGAAGAAATCTGTTGTATGTACCGAGCTTCTCAATAGAAATTACATAACATGTATCATTAAAATTTGGCAAATGTTGAGCAAAAAATTGTAATGAAGCAAAAATATAAAATTTTCAACCAATAAGATGAGAAATCTTAGCCTATGAAGAAATTTTACAGAGAATAGAACACATATAGTAAGTGTAATTAACATAAATATTCTTCAATACATGATCTCATTAGATAAATTGCTACTACTCCAAAAAATAAATTAAAATACATTGAAAATTATGTGGAAGCATTTCTTAAGAACAACTAAAACTAAAATAAGTTCATGTATGCATAGTTTGGTAGTGAAAGGTATATATATATATAGGCTAATTTTTGTCTTTTAATCTCCCATCTTTTAATGTATTATTACTCCACATTAATAAAATTAATTAAAAAATATAAAATTAAAGGTGGATGGATCATATAAAATCTCCAATTAAGAAGATAGTTAGAGTGAGAGGTGAAAAGTTGATTGAATTGAATTAATATTTTTTTAATTATAAAATAAAAATAAAAATTAATCTCCCATCTTTTAACATGTTATTACTCCACACCAATTAAATTTAATTAAGAATTATAAAAATTTAAGGTGGAAAAATACATGAATCTATATTATAAACTCTAATAAAGAAGACAAATACAGTGGGACGAATATATACCTCAAAAAAAAAAATTCTATTAAAATGATTTTAAGATGTTACAAATTTGTACATTAAATAATTGAAAGTTATGAATATGAAAAGTTTGAAAGTTATGATTTTATTTAGGGATAAGGGTCTGAAAAATACCTCAACTTTGGTCGGATTTTCTGTTGCGATACTAAACTTTCATAAAGACCTATTACCTTCCTAGACTATTTAATACCGTATTTTAAACATATATATTTGCCCACGTGAACATAAAAAATAATGCAAAATTATAAATAGTAATGTGTCCACATGGGCACATATATACCTTTAAAATACACTATTAAATAGTTCAGGGGGTAAAAAATACGGTATTAAATAGTCTAGGGAGGTAATAGGTCCTCATGAAAGTTTAGTATCGCAACAACAAATCTGACCAAAATTGGGGTATTTTTCAGACCCTTATCCCATTTATTTATTAAGGAACTATGAGTTAAGGGGATGCTATTTCCAAAATAAAATAATTGAAGAAATTATAAAAAAAAAAAAGTAAAAAATAGGAGATAAAAGATAAATAAGAATGGAGATCATAGAGAAGTGTCACATCACCTTGTCTATGTTTCTCCTTTATATATATCTATATATAATAAGCCACAATGCAACTATCATTGTAACTATCTTGTTAGCTTTCAACCAAAAGCTAACAAGATTTTTAGTTA